TTGTTATAATAACAATGATGAAATAAAATTAAAAACATTTATTTTTAAGGAAAATACATATATGTTGTGCCAATTCAAAGTACCTTAGTTTGTTGGGTATTAAATTTCATTAAAATCAGATCTTTACTTAATATGTAATTAAGCAATAAAATTAATACTTGGATCAAATGACAATATTAATTAATGAGTATGTGTTGTCTCTCTCTCTCTCTTTTTCTTCATATCAGTTTTTTTCTAGTTTTTGCTTTTGAGAAAACTATGGGCTGGGAAGGGGATGAGAAGTATTCTGAAAGGAATTTCAAAGGAGGCTAAAGTTTGTACAGAAAGTCACTAAGAATTGGTAAGGACACAAGGAAAATAGCATATTTGATTCTGTATCTGAAGACCTCATTATCAAAGGTTCTAGAGCTTGACCTCACCATTCACCTTGAAAACAGATTCATTTTAAAAATATCCCAGAAGCACTTGCTAAAGTGAAATGAGGGAGAGCAAGGTGAGCAGAAGTAGCTGTCCAACCCTCTGAGACCACCAGAAGGGCCAGAGCACGTGGCAGTTCCCACTCAGTGCTCACCTGCTGGGCCAGTCCTCACATAGAAAAGGGGCAAAAAGTCCAGCAAATGGATGAACTACATGACTGGAAAAGAAGCAGGTGTCTTCACAGCAGCCTTCACACAATAGGCAGCATTCCTTGTAGCAACAGAGCAAAATGGAAAAAGACTCTTGAGTACATCGCAGGGCAGGGCAGGGCATAGAAAGTTTACAAGGGGAAACAGCTGCTCCAAAGCTGCACAGAGTGTTAATCAAGCCATCTCTAGAATAGCAGGAAGGCTTATATCAATGGCCTTAATTTGCCCCCAAGGCCCTGTTTTTATCTTGATTTAGCAATTCCCATTGATAGCAATCTGTTGTCCTCATCCCACAGAAGGCCCCAAACTTGTGGATCTGTCCTCCTACAAGTTTGCCTTTGGTAGCCCCTCAAGGAGAAAAGCTCCCCAGGAAGAAGACAGAGCTTTATTTTTATTCCAGTTAAAGTCCCTATCCAATCCATTAATAGCTAAGATAACCTTGGTCCAGGGCATTTCCTGGAGAAGCTATAACCAGCTAGGGTTAATGAACTCTCCCTACCGTTAATTCCTGGGAGAGGCCATTGGCCTGAATTGTTACTTAATTACTCTTCTGTGTACAGCTTCATAAAGCAATGAAATGCCTTCTTTCAGGAAGAAAGGAGATGGTAATGGGGGTCATCAGAGGCCATTAATTTTACAAATAGTTTGTTAGAAACTACAGTATGTTACAAAGTCACTCTGGCCCACAAATCAACTCAACATGGTTCTTATTAGAAGAGATCCCTAACTTCACAGGTTTCTGTGGCTCCCACACACAAAAAGTTAAAAATCATGCAGAATTTGGTGAAAATTTATATATAATGGTATGCAAAAATACATTCTTTATATTCTGTAGCTGGTCTCTTCCCCTTTACCTCCTACTCCTAAAGTTGAAAGATGGAGCACGGCATTGCTTTGGATCAAGGGACTCATTTCACAGCACATGAAGTATGGCAATGGGCTTATGCTCATGGAATTCACTGGTCTTACCATGTTCCGCACCATCCTGAAGCAGCTGGTTTGATGGAATAATGGAATGGCCTCTTAAAAACACAAATACGGCACCAGCTAGGTGGCAATACCTTGAAGGGTTGGGGCAATGTTCTCCAGGAGGCTGTATATGCTCTAAACCAGCGTCCAATATATGGTTCTGCTTCTCCAATAGCCAGGATTCATGGGTCTGGGAACCAAGAGGTGGAAATGGGAGTGGTACCACTCACTATTACCCCTAGTGACCCACTCAAAAAAATTTTGCTTCCTGTTCCTGCTACCCTATGCTCTGCGGGTCTGGAGATCTCAGTCCCAAAGGGAAGAACATTCCCACCTGGAGACACAATACTGATTGCATTGAACTGGAAATTAAGAATGCCACCCAGCCATTTTGGCTTCCTCATGCCTCTGGATCAACAGACAAAGAAGGGCATTACTGTACTATCTAGAGTGATAGATCCTGATTACCAAGGGGAAATTGGGTTGGCTTTACATAATGGGGGTAAAGAAGATTATGTCTGGAATACAGGAGATTCTTTAGGATGTCTCTTAGTACTACCATGCCCTGATATTAAAGTCAATGGAAAATTACAGGAAACCAATTCTGATATTACTTCTAATGGCCCAGACCCTTCAGAAATGAAGATTTGGGTCACCCCACCAGGCAAAGAATCATGACCAGCTGAGGTGCCTGCTGAGGGCAAGGGAAATAGAGAATGGGTGGTAGAAGAAAGTAGTTCTAAATATCAGCTACGACCACATGACCAGCTGCAGAAACAGGGACTGTGATTGTTATATTTCTTCATTGTATATGTGCATCAAATATTTTTGTTTCCTTCTGTTATGAAATGTAAATAAGGTTAATGCATTTTGGTTGTATGTGTGTTAGCATATCATGTTAGGCACAAATATGACTCTATAATTGTCCTTATTTAGAGATCATATATATGGTTAAGAAGATGTGTACAACTGCCAAGTTGACAAGGGGTGGACTGTGGTAGTTGGAGCTGTGTGTTAACTTGGCTGGACCCCAGTTCAGTGTGGTTATTCCCATGATGGGAACAGATGACTGTGTTCTGAGTGGCCAATCTGTTCAAGGGGAGTTTCTCTAGGGGTGTGGCCTGCTTCCAGGATATCCAGGGACATCTGGAAAGAGAGACATTCTTCTGTGAATTGGGATTCTGTTGTTCTGGCTACAACTGTCCATGAGTGAGCAGCCCACCATTCGGCCTGGAGATCTTGGATTTGTCATTCATTGGAGTCAACAGCTGGTGTACTGCCTGCCAGCTTTGAGCTTCTCGGCCCCTGTGGGGAAAAGCCTCCAGCCTGACGTTTGCTCCAGGGACTTTGGACTTGCCAGCTTCTATACATTTGTGAGCCATTTTCCTAAGATAAGTTTCTCTCTCTTTTATATATATATAAGCTTTGCTGTTTTTTGTTTCTCTAGAGAACCCAGTCTAACACAATGGCCTTTTCCAATTTGAAAATCTCTTTGATGTCATTTCTCAGTCTTTCAGGGATTTTCTCCCTCTGAAGAGATCTCTTCTTTTCCAGGATGATGGCAGCTGGTTGGAAAAGCTATGTATCCTTGAGGATACTGCAGGGGGAACACTGAGGCCTTCCCAACCCTTGGTGCTTCTGTATCTATTGATATGCAGCCTGGCCCACCGAGGCCTGGGCTTGCTCTGAAGGTGTTCACTGATGTATAGCAACTCCTGCCTCGTCTTCCAAGCTGCACAACTTCTCCCTGCTGATGATGACCACAGACCTTGTTATTGCCTCTGGTTGTGAGTACTATACACTTTGGCCTTTCAACATGACCCAAAGTCTTTTCTTGTTCATCAGACCTCTTAACACATTTATACCCCACATTTCAAGGTCTTTGGAGTCAGAATTCTCTGTGGCACCCAATGTAAAATTGCAACAATCTCTCCCACCACACCCACAACAGCATTTCTCCTCCTTCTTTCATTAATTTATTTTTCTTTATAGTATTCTCCTTTTTTATCATACTATATAAAATTAATTTTTTTTTTTTTTTAAATCACCCCTTACTAGAATGTAAACTCCACAAGGGCACGTGCTTCTGGTTGTTTTGCTCACTGTCTCCCTAGGGGTTAGAAGAGTGCCTGGCATATGTAGGCACTCTATCAATGTTCATTGAATGTAGGAGTAGGTAGTTGGCTATGTAATGGGCTCCAACTGCTGGCCACAGCACCCAAAGTTTCCATATTAGTCATGTTTGGGCTGGAAGGGAGCCCAAAGAAATAAAGGAGAGGGATTCCCTCCACCAACCCACATCCTGTCTAGAATCAGGACCAGTGAACCTACTGCTGCCAAAGGGCAGAGTTGGCCATGAAACCCATGCACCCATTTAGTCTCTGACTGCGCAAATGATAGGACACTGTTGCCATCCACCCTATTGTGACATGCTGCCCCACCCATCCTATGTCAATAGCAGACTTATGATGCCTCGGAAGGTTCTGAGATTCTATTGGGTGGTTCCCTGGGAGAAAGACTAGACTTTTCAGAAACTAATTCACTAGGACTGGATCAGGAAGACCACACATCAAAAGAGAGGTAGAGTTTGTTGAAGAAATAGAGAAGAGGAAACTAAGGGGCAGAGAGAGTAAAATAACTTGTTTCTGCTCTGTTCTTCTCTTCTGAGCCCTATTTAATATCAAGGAGTCCCTGGGTGTGGAAACAATTAACACTCTTGGCTGTTGAGCAAGAGGTTGGAGGTTTGAGTCCACCCAAAAGTGCCTTGGAAGAAAGTCCTGGTGATCTACTTCCAAAAAATCAGTCACTGAAAACTCTATGGAGCACACTTCTACTTTGACACAAATGGGATTTCCACGAGTAGAAATTGACTCAACAGCAACTGTTTTTGTTTTGTTTTGTTTTGTTTCTTTACTTAATACTAAAGATGTTAATATCTGGAGATTTTTGGAGAGGCTGGGCTGGAGAGCAGAGATACTACTTTTCAAGGCATTTACGCACTTCCATCCATGCCCACAGGACCTTAAGGAAAGCAATTAGGCCTAGAGCAAAACAAGGACCTCAGAACAATTGAGAGCCTCTATTTCTTCCTATTGTCTTGTATAAATTTCCAAAGGCCTTTGGTAAATAATCTCTGAATATATATTCTAGCAGGAAATATATTGAATTTTCCAGCATTATCCCTCTATTCTCACTGTATCCTATGGAGACATAATCAGAGCATGGGCAAAAGAATTAGAGACCTAGGTTTCGTCATGGTCAGAATTTAGGGCTGGATGGAAGGAACCAGTTACCTGATTTGGTTCCTATCTTTCGGGACTCTTGGCTAGTTATTCTGTGCTTCAAAATGGATCTATTTCCCCAATTTATTAAATATATCTCTGCTGTCATTTTAGGGAACCTACAATGGAAGAACACAAGGAAGAACAATTAGATCTTGAGTAAGTAATCATGATTATGCAAATCATGATGTGAAAAACCATATCCAGAGATGAAGATGTGAAGCAGGTGATGTTTGCCATTAATATCATCCCACATCTTCCAGTCTCCCTCTCTATTCCATGCTTATCCAACCATCTCTCACTGCATCCCTCTCAAAGCACCCCATGCCCTCCTGAAGTGATAACCATTATAAATCCCCTAGCCAGGCCAGCCTCCCCGAGGTAGGACTTTAGTTTTCAAGACCATCTATCTTTCCTACCCACAACAAAATTCCCTTTGCCTGTCTACTCTACTCCCAGTTAATTATTTCAAAGACAGACCAATGAATTTATTCACATAAATAAGAAAAATAAAAGTCTACCATGTGTCAGGTACCCTTTCTAGACTCTCTAGAGTCACCATTATTTAGTCACACGTCATAAAAAGAAGTTTGCATTCTTGGAAGTAGATGCCTGGAGCATTCCTGTATGTGGTCAGTGAAATGATTCTCACAGAAGAATCGTAATTTTTCTAACAAGCAAGTGAAAGAGTTTTGAGGTGGGAGGAGGGAAAGACTGAAGCCCTACTGTGCAATTGTAAACCTCTTGTGACTTTGCACAAAGCCTAATAATAAGTGATGTGTCACATCACATGCTTAGATAAAAGTACTGGGGGCAAAAAAGTGTATTGCATGAGGAAATTTTATGAATAGTTTACCTGAGAAAAGATTCCCAAAAGAAACTATTATCTCCAACATGAGAAAGCTAATGCTTCCCATGAAAACATCATAGAGGTACACTATTATTTTGAGCACTTTGCAGGAGATAGCCTGAGAAATACCTCCTTTGCTCACAGAGTTGAGAACTTTTGACATAAATTGTAAAACATGAAAAATGAAAAGAAAAAGAAACCGTGTGTTCCCAGACTCAGGTTAATGAATTACATCTTTTCTAGAAAATGTTTGTGACCCAATTGTTGCTGATCTTAAGATAACTAGCTGATGTTCATTTTGGGGGCTGAGTATATAGGTTGGAAAAAATGGAAATCTCAAGATTGGCACAATCAAAAAGAAATATTAACAGTTTGAACATGGACCTTGAAAGGGATATGCAGAGAATAGATGAAGCAAATCAGGACCTTCTTCTCAAAATCCAAGAGAAAGAAGATGAGATTCAGAGGTTAGTTTTGGGGTTTCTTGAGGTAAGTTCTCAATCCAAAGGGAGGAGTGGAGTTGAAGAGACAAAAACTGAATTTCCTATTTGTTCTAGAGACTTATATCTTGTGTAGAAAGAAGTCTCTTCTTTATTCTTTGGCATTGATGTATGGCTTAAACACTGAGACATAGTAAGCTTGAAGTGTATTTCTAGAGAACTACGTGATATTTACCTGAGGTGAGAACATTGGGGAGTTTGGCTTTGGAATCAGGTAGCTCTTACTTTCCTTATCTTTAAGTGATTCTGATTCTATGGATTCTGGACAGGAGGGTTTCCAACTTGAGATTCACATGTATTGTCACTAATGTACCCTCAAAACTGATATACATTTTATCAGTTCTGAAACTGCCCATCATGGTCCTCATGTGAGTGTCCTTGTGCCATCCAGGCTGGAAAGTGAGATCAATCAGACAGGAGACCTGGCAGAAGATGAGGAATGGGAGAAGGAGAACTGCACAACCATTGAAAGGGAAAGAGCCATGCAGGAGCTGGAAGAAGAAACAGCCAGACTTGTAAGGAAGAAGCTGGGAAGAGCCATATGATAGTTTCTTTCCTCATCTTGTCCCTCTTCAACTGTCAGATACACATGCCTTCCCTTTATAAATACAGGGAATAGTCAACCCAAAAGTCATGACAGAAGGTCCATGCATGGAAGGGAACATGTGACAGGCAGTGTTTCTTTGGTAATATGTAATGCCAGGAATCCCAGCATGTGGGTAGCTATCTTGATCCCTGGTAAATTGGTGTTCATATATATTGAGATTAGACCATACGTAACTCACCTGATAGTATGCAAGCAAGGTAGAGTTATTGCCAGGAAAATATCACCGGGGTGAGATGGAGAACACTGACAAAATAAGGGGGAATATAGTGTGCAGACACAGAAGGAAGACTGGGCAATCTACTTTTGTAGTGATGCTGCCTTGGAAACCCAAGGAGGGGTCGCGATGAGTGGGATCTGACTTGATAGCAGTGAGTTTGGTTTGGATAGTGTGGAGGAGACTCTGTTTCTTTCTCTTCACAGGAAAGGAAGAATGAAACACTGGTGCACAGTATAACAGAACTTAAAAGAAAGGTGGGACAGGGTCCTTGTGTCCCCCAGGGTCCCATATCAGCCCCATTTATCAGAGGCAAGTGAGGAAAAGTGATCATAGAAGAGTCATTGTCAGGGAGCTTGGAGTGGGTACTAAAAAATTCCCTACGCCACACCTGAGGCTAAGGCTCATTACCTTTTAAATGCCATGGGTTTTCTCTGTCAGTGTGAGGTGAAAGGCTGTTGTTGTTATGTGCCATCAAGTTGGACCTGACTCATAGTGACCCCTCCTTGGATTTCTGAGGCAGTATCACTATGGAAGTAAATTGTCCCATCTTCCTTCTGAGGAGTGGCTGGTGGGAGGTGAAAGGAGTGAATGGGTATTCAGTGATCCCATTAGTTCTTCATTCTATCACAAGAAAATGGATCCCAACAGTCTATTGAAGTGATTGACTTCACCTTCCCCCTTTTGGTGAGAGGTCACTTTCATTTTCAACCAGAGAATTAAAAAATACTTAGTTGCCTAGGATTCCTTTTTCCTTATCTAGGCATTGACTCTTCCTCAATCTCTCATCAGAACACATGAGCTTCCCACCATGACCCTACTCACTAATGCATAGCCTGAAGTCCTGAGTAACCCAGCATGAGTTAGGGGTTCAAGGAAGTACCTCTGCCTTGAACTGACTTTAGCTTGGTAGTCAAGACTAGTGTTTATACAGGAAACCTAGTAGCCACCAAGGGACCATCTCCTGGCAGTGCTTATAAAGACCATAGATAATAGCCCTTATACCCAGAGAATATCTCTTTCTTCTATATATTTTTATTTAATGTATTTTTTAATTTGAAACTGTAGCTTACAAGGAGAATACATAAGACAATCAGGAATGAACAAGGCAATATAGATGAAACCTTGGAAGAGTCAAAGGTAATAAAAAGCAGTCATGAATGGGTTTGGGCTATGTGACTAGGAAATAAGCCTTTAAATTGGAAAGAATTGTCAAAGTTGGAATAAATTTGTTGTAGTTTTAACCCATGTCAGGGTTAAGCCTGGGCCCCTGAATGCTAGATTCTTCACTGACTTCAGTGAGAAATTTCACTTTGAAGCCATATTTTTGTTCTCTCTTTTATCAGAAAGAACTAAAAAAAACCCCTCACTGTCTTCAAGTTAGTTCTGACTTAAAACGACCCCTTTTGGGTTTCCAAGGCTGTAAGTCATTATGGAAGCATACTGCCCCATCTCTCTTCTGTGGAGCAGCTGGTGAGTTCAAACCACCACCTTTTGGTTAGCAGCCAAATGTCTTACCCACTACACCACAAGAGCTCCTTTCTATCAGGAAGAGTAGGGCATAAATGCATATATGGCATTACAAGCAGTTGAAGTCCCGAGATTAAATCCTGGCTCCAGCACTTAATTTCGTATATAAAGTTGGACAATTTAACCAGCTTTCCCAGCCTCAGTTTGAGAGTTAAATGATATTGCTTATGTGGAATATTCTTTTCTGGATGGCTGAAATCTTGGAAAGCCACACAATTTTAAAGCCATTTCTTAAACATCTAGTTGAGGCATACATATGAATACACAGAAGTGAGCCTAATGCGTACAAGGCAATTTATGCACCTTGTTATTGATCCCAAACCAGAAAAGGTTTTATTCAATTAGTCACTCAAGTATTTAGTATCTCTATCTGCTAAGCAAGGAGCTCCAGTAGCACAATGGTTAAGCACTTGCCTGCTAACCAAAAGGTTGGTAGTTCAAATGCACCTAGTGGCTCCATAGGAGAAAGATCAGGAGCTCTGCTTCCATAAAGATTACAGCCTAGAAAACCCTATGGGACAGTTACTCTGTCACATTGGGCCACTGTGAGTTGAAAATTGACAGCACCCAGCAACAATAACCTGCTAAGCACGTTATACAGTGTTGAGCATTTCTCTAAGAAGCTGAGGCCAAACAACCCATCTAATCAAAGAAGCAAATTAAGAATTTAAACTTTTTTTTTTTTTCACTCAGAAAGTAGATAAAATTCTTACTTGGAACTTTCTATAGAATTACTTCTTTCTCCTCACCTTGCCTAATTTCTCTTACCATTCTAGAGCCCACACTTTACTGTATGTATGGACCTGCTAAGGTACAGGCACATTGTAAATAGAAATAGAAAATGAAAGAATAGAGAATTGCTCCTCTATCTTCTGATGGTTAATTTAAGGTTGGTGGCCACAAAAGTAGAAAGCTTAAAGCCACCAAGTGAAATTGTTTGACCATGTCCATCCAGGAAACTTATCTGGATGAAAAAGAAATCTGGAAACTGAGTGCACATTGGGAAGAAATTGGAAAATTGGAGCTAAGACTGAAAAGGGTTATGAAGACCTTTGACTACCCTTGCCATATGACTTCAGCAGTCAGAAAACGGATTTTCTTTTGTTGTTGTTGTTGTTAAGTGCTGTCAAGTCGTTTCCAATTCATAGCGACCCCATGCACAGCAAAACGAAACACTGCCCGATCCCGCCCCAGCCCCACAATCCCTGCTATACTTGAGCCCATCATCGCAGCCACTGTGTCAATCCATCTCATTGAAGGCCTCCCCCTCTTTCGTCGACCCTCCACCCTACCAAGCATGACATCCTTCTCCAGGGAATGGTCCCTTCTGACAACATGACCAAAATAGGTGAGACGAAGTCTGGCCATTCTTGCTTCCAAGGAGCATTCTGGCTGCACTTCCTCCAGGACAGATCTGTTAGTTCTTTTAGCAGTCCATGGTACTTTCAGCATTCTTCACCAGCACACAACTCAAAAGCATCAACTCTTCTTCGGTCTTCCTTATTCATTGTCCAGCTGGATTTTCTTTTAGGACCCCTTTTTCTGCTCAGAACAGCTGCTCTGACAGTAAGTCCAGTCAGAATCTAGTATCGACCCTGGCTATGCTGGCTAGGTCAGGTGAGCCAAGCTGATAGATACAGAGTCTCAGGCATTTGTCAGAGCAATGACCACTATTTATTTTTCTAGCAGCACTCAGCTCAGTAGCCAGTTCTGTAGTAGTAGTAACACCTTGAACCACTCCCTGTTGCCCATTTGTTTTATAGAATTTTCAGTGGTATCTCTAATTCTAGGAAATATACACCATCTCTTTTGCTTCTGTTTCTCTGACATGCTGGTGATGAATCATGGAATGTCTGCTTCAACTTCTTTTGACTCAGACCATTGATTGGCTTGAAGTTTTAACCCTTAACACATTTGGCTGATTAGCCCTGAACTGGAAGGGAGAGGGACTGTGAGAAGAGTCCAGATATGAGATGATGGGAATGAGATGAAAGTGGGAAAAAAATTGAACTAAAAAGGGAAACAAGGATACAAACATGTCAGCTCTACCTCCAGATATATCCCCAATGCATTCATTTCTATCTACCAGCATTATTATACTACTTTTTCCAAACCATCATAACCTCTCACCTGGGCAACTGCAGTAACCTCCAACTAGTCTCCCAACTTCAAATCTTCTACTCCAACAATCCATTTTCCACATAGAGAGGAGTTTAAGAACAGCAATTAGATTGTATCTCTACTATATCAGCCCCTCTTGCAACTTGCCACTGTAATTAAAATTTTTAAAAAATCAAACTCTTTACTAGAAGGTACACGCCCACTGCCAGTGAGACAATTAAAACTCACAGTGACTCTATAGGACAGAGTAGAACTGCCCCATAGGGTTTCCAAGCCTGTCATCTTTACAGAAGCAGACTGCCACATCTTTTCCCACAGAGCAGGCTGGTGAGTTCAAACCACCAACCTTTCAGTTAGCAGCTTAGCACTTAACAGCTTGTCACCAGGGCTCCTTTGAAGGCAAATCCACCAAAAGCAAACCCACTGCCATCGAGATGATTTTGACTCATAACGACCCTAAGGAACAGAGTGGATCTGCCCCATAAAGTTTCCAAGGTTGTGATTCTTTATGGACACAGACTGCCTCATCTTTCTCCCATGGAGTGGCTGATGAATTTGAACTGCCAAACTCTTGGTCAGCAGATGAATGTGTCAACCACTGAGCCACCAGAGCTCTTAGAAGGTAAAAGGCCCTACGTAATCTAGCCTACCTACCTGCCCCCATCTCCTGCCTACCAGTCTCACCTGTGCTTCAGTCACACAACATCATTATACTTACCAAATCTCTGCTACCTCCCAGTCATAGCACTTACTCTAACCTTTTCTTAGAACATATTTCAAACCTTCACTAGGCTAATATTTATCATTTAGTTTACAACTCAGATATCATGTCTTCAGAAAGACCTTCACGGACCACCAACACTAGACCTCCCACAACCACCATCATCACTCACTCTCCACCACATTACCTTTTTTCTATTTCCTTCACAGTCTTTCTTTCTTTCATTATCTTGGTAACTAACTGATTACATCCTCTAACTAGAATGTTAGCTCTATAAGGGCAAAATACCTCTGTATTCCCAGTACACAGCAGCACAGTGGTTTTCAACAAATATTTAAGGAAAGGAGGGAGGAAAAGCAAATGGGAGGGAGGAGTAGCAAAAACTTTGGATTCTAACTGAATATATAAAAAGAAAAGGAAAAGGAAATTTCTCAGGACTAATGTATTTGCCAAAAGAAATAGCTAAGGAAGAGAAGGAAGCTAAGACTAGAAGTTTGGGTGTGCAGGTAGGACCTGGTGGATACCAGGGAGTTGGAATATAAGAGAGCAGGCTCACCAAGTAACTACAAAGAAGGAAGCTGGATGGTTTGACTCCCCCCATCACAAAACATCTGAAATTGTGGCCCTGGTACACTTCAACAGCCTATGAGATGACCCTTGAGATGGTCCAGAATGGAATTCTGCAGTTTTTACCTTATTGAGTCACCAGTCTCCTTTCCTTTCTACAGGTTAAGTTACAACAGCTGGAAACATCCTGTGTAGATCAAGAGACGGAGCTGGCCAAGGTAATGACAACTTTTCCAAAGGTTACTTCTCCCAAAAAAAGGGAAATTTGAGCCTTGGCCAGTTGATTGAATACTTTTCTGAAATGATTGATTTATAAGAGGTACCAACTCCAGGACCTTTATAGGCCTGGGGAGAGAATGCAGAGGAGGAAGACTACCTTCTCTTTAACATTTTTACAGGATATATTCTATAGTCTGCACTTTTCTACCTAGCAGTACCTATTCTTCTCCCAAACTAACCCAAATAATTCACATTGGGATTATAAATTATGATATGGCTTGTTTATCCTCAAAAAAGAAAATGAGTTCAAACAAACAGCAAAGTGCATTTAAAACCACAGTTAGGGTAAAGGACACAGGAGAGAAATGCAAGTCTAAATTTTGGCTTCCCAGGTAATGGACGACTATGCATTTGTGATTCAGCTCTGTGAAGATCAGGCCCTCTGCATAAAGGTACAGCTACTCAATAAAGGGATAACAAATAGTTTGTTAAGGTACAAGATGAAATGGAACCAGGGGCACTATAGCAAAATACAGTGAAATTTGTGAAAGCCAGTACTTTATAGGACGGCCTTGCTTTTATGGGTCTCACAAGATTTCTGCCCTAGACAGGGAACAATCTTACACCTTTCTATAGCTCATTTTCATGGGAAGATATGTGAGTTCTCCTCCTCTGACAGCTTTCCACCTTACACAGATTCTGGCTTTTGCAGGTTTTACTGTATCACAAGCTGGGTGACTTATAAGAACAGAGATTAATTCCTTCATAGTTCTGGAAGCTGGGAGTCCAACATCAGGGTATCAGCCATATTGATTCCTTCTGAAGCTAAGGAACTCTGGTGCCATAGTGTTTAAGGCATTTGACTGCTAACCAGAAGGTTGGCAGTTCAAACCCACCAGCCACTCTGCGGAAGGAAGACTGGGCAATCTACTTCCATAAAGATTTACGATCTCTGAAACCCAAAGGGGGTCTCTATGAGTTGGAATCAACTGGATGGCTGTGAGTTCTGAGGCTAAGAAAGAAAATGTTCCATGCCTTTCTCCTGGGTTCTGGTAGCTCCAGGCATTCCTTAGCTTGCAGCATCACGTGGCATCCTTCCTCTATCTTTCCTGTCTCTGTGTATCTTCTCCTCTTTTATAAGGACACCAGTCAGATACCACCTCGGAAACCCAAGGAGGGGTCTCTATGAGTCGGATCCGACTCAACAGCAGTGAGTTTCGTTTTTGTTTGGTCATATAGAATTAGGACACACCCTACTGCAGTGTAACTTGTTGTTATCCTAATTGATAGCATCCTCAAAGATCCTATTTCCAAACAAGGTCACATTCACAGGTTCCAGAAGTTAGAACTTCAGCAAATTTTGAGGGGAACACAATTCAATCCATAACAACACTCCCACTCTCAGTATCACTCTATGCTTCTTTGACTCCCTGTTAATTACTGCTCTGGACTCTGAACCTCTATGCTCTTAAATTAATAAGAAGTAACTGATTCTTTTCTTATTTATAACTTCGATTATCTCCACCACCACCATCACCCCCAGGAAACTGATCAGTGGTGAAGCGTAGTTAGAAATCAGTAGTAGTGGTGGATGGGGATAGTGAAAGGAGACACAGTGGCAGTGGTAATACCCAATGTTCATATCAGAATGTAATAACAAATGCTTATCATGATTTGGAAAAAAAAAATGAAGTTTCCAGTTAGTAACCATGTTCTTTTTTATTTTTCTTCACAGAAATATCAGGAAACTTTGAGGAAAATAGAAGAAGAACTAGAGACTCGATTCCTTGAGAAAGAAGTGTGAGCTTTGGCAAAGGAACAGGCTGGTTTTAGTGGTAACTCCATCTCAGCCTGAGTTAGGGCAAACATTTCTGAGACCAGTTCTGACCTGGAATTGAATGAGCCCCAAAGCCACATGTCTAGTTCCCTCTGTGAGTTATCTGGTCGACCTCAGCTAAAACAGAGCAATTTTACCATTTAGGTCCTTTTCAAATCCTTCTTAAAAGATAGCAGAAATACATCTCTCTCATAATTTTATCACATTATCACTGGAGCAGAAATATGTGTTTTCAAAAGAGTTGGTTGTCAGTCACCTTGATAAGTAGGGTATTCTTTATATTTCACAGTAAAGGCCTTAAAACCAGAAATATCATCCTCCCTTCCCCCAGATACACAGAAACACAACCATAAGGGATAGGCATGAAAATAACCTCTAGACACACACTATGGTACCATATTATTTTGTGCACTATGCACTATTTTGAACTATGAACAATAAACATAAGAAATGATAAGGAAAAAGCCCAAAGAAAAACATTCCCTGAGTTTGTTAAATAAGTCTAAATAATGAGGAACCAAAACCAAAAACCTCACTTCCATTTCTTGACTCTGTTTCTAATTTAAACTTTAACTCAGACAAAAAGTATTTTCTATTTATTAAATATTTTGAATCTCTGGAACAAGAGCAAGGAGCTAAAATTGCATGTAGCCTTAAAGTAGACCAAGTACACATGAGAGAACACAGTGGCCTGAAGACCAGGAGCCTGGACATAGAGGTCTTTGTTCTTGAAGTACAGCTTCAAGTCTCTCAAGATCCTTGCTGAGCATTAGGATATAGCTTGACTGTTAAGCTAAGATTCTAGAACAGTGTTTTCCAGTAGAACTTTCTGTACTGTGTAACATAGTAGCCACTACGTACATGTAACTCTTAATAGATGGTTGGTGTGACTGAGGTGGAGTCTCTGGGTGGCACCAACAGTTAAGTGCTTGGCTACTAACTAAAAAGTTGTCAGTTCAAACCCACTCAGAGGCACCTCAAAATAAAAGCATGACAATTAGCTTTGGAAAGGTGACAGCCATGAAAATCCTATGGAGCACAGTTCTACTCTGACATACATGGGGTCACTATGAGTCAGAAACAACTTGACTGTAACTGGTTTGGTGTTTAGTGTGACTGAGGAACTGAGTTTTTAATTTTAACTGATTTAAATTTAAATAGCTGCATGTAGCCAGTGGCTAGCTACCATATCAGATACAACGGCTTTATAACATAAAGCTGGTTTCAAATAACCATCACAGAATTAGGAATATCTGAGTGTATTTTATTTAATCTGTGTCTTGGCACTTCTTCCCCTAGATCAAAAGTGTTGAGCATAAACTCTGAAAGAAAACAGCGTAACAGTCAAAATAATGAGGCAAGTATGCCACTTCGTCTTCAGCTTCTCTCGGTGTCATTGCCTTCCAAGGGGGGTTCCAAAAAACTATGACCCACCAAACACATATTTGTTCTTCCCATGTGCATTTTCCAAGAACAGTACCAGCTGTAATTCCAAAGTAGTCCAACCCTAAAACATACAAAAAGAATGCTTAGGAACAATTGACTTCCCTCTCTTACAGCCATGAAAGTAGCATGTTCTCAAAGAAACCAGCCTATGATCTAAGTGAATTCAGTCTGAAAGCAAAAGGGAATGTTAACTGAGGGTACATCCTATGGAAAAGAGGTCAATATAAGACCTCCCATTTAGCACTTTTTCCTGATGACCCCAGATATGGTTCAAAATCTTTCACACACAGAGCCCCAGGCATGTATCACTGTCTAATCCAAACTGATCTTGAGTTCAAACATGGAAAGTCATTGCTTCTTCATAATGGAACTTCTGTGTCTGTTTATATTTAAGATCATGGTGTCACCAATAAATGTGCAAAGGCCTGAAGGACATAGAACAATTGAATGTAAAGCACCAGACCCCTTGGCTTGCCTAGGCATCTTGTGAAGCAAGCACGTAGGGCTAGATAAACTTTTGAGGGACTGTAATTTTGCCATTTATATTGGCTTTAAAGTGGAAGTTGACATTCACCAGAAATTTTATGTGGTCAAAATAAATGGTCATAATAATCCTAGTAAAGAGAAGTCATCTCTTACTTAAAAGAAATGTGAACAACTGATCATTGTCCTGAGTTCATACAGAAGTGTTAAGATATATTAGACCAAATCCATGGTAAGTTTCCCATTGTCCTGAGCAAGTCATACTGGTCCCAAATGTGCATATTCAGCAAAATAAAACCCTGAAATTAACTGGACCTCATTGCTCTGGAAGGAATCTTAGCACATTCTCTGATTTATCTCACTCTCTAACACCAGTTGCTAATCAAATTATTCCTTCCAACCACATATCAGAAGGAAAAAAAAAAAAAAAAGAATTTTATTCATTTCATTATAATAATCAAGATAGTTCAATGGCCTAGTAATGTCTTGGAAATCTTTTATTAAGTGGCTACCTGAATAATTGACCAGTTGGAATGCCACCTAATCTTACTCAAGTTATAGAACCAAATTTTTAATCCAGAAATTTTCTTCCTAATTCCAATTCTGTGAGCCTTATTTCTACAGCTGTAAAATATCATAATTCCTCTTCCTTTTAAGCACTTAAGGAAGTTAAGCGGAAAATGAAATAACTAAACAAAATATTTTGAAAGAGGTGTCACAGAAATCCAGGATATATTCTCATTTATAGATTTTTATAGCTTTTTAAAAACTCTCTCTTAAAATATATGTGTGTAACTTCCATAGCCTATAAACTTCTATCAGGGTCACTAGGTGAGAAGAATGTGGAAAAGTATAGTTGAGAGAGCCCAAAATGTGGAATCAGATGACCTGGGTCCTAAGCCTGGTCCTGTCACTCACTAGGTGTATGACCATGGGCAGCGTACTTAAACATTGTGTGCCTTGGTGTTGTTGTTATGTGCCGTAGAGTCGCCCTCAACTCATAGCGACCCCTCCTTGGGTTTCCGAGGCAGTATCAGTACGGAAGTAGATTGCCCCATCTTCCTTCCGAGGAGTGGCTGGTGGGTTTGACCAGCCAGCCTTCTGGTTAGCAGTCAAGTGCCTTAGGCACTACGCTACCAGAGCTCCTAATGTGTGCCTTAGTATAGTCATATCAATATGTAAAAAGGTAATAATAACAATATACACATCAGAAACTTTTGACTTCGAAGATTGCATGTAGTTATGTAAACAAAAGGAATGTATAAAGTATTATTGAAATAAAAGTTAACACAATATAATGGTTCATTGGATATTATTTGACAGTGGTGTTGGCTTCCATAAATTGCTTACTTATCAATGTCTTTTCTTCCTGTCCCAGGATAATTCTATCCAAAAGAAAGCAATACTATTCTGTAGAAGGTAAGTAGAATATCTTTGCATAAACATTGGAAAACTGTGAGTTCTACTCAGCCATTCTGGCAGATAGCAAGATCTAGACAAGGAGAACCTTGTACACACACAAACACACACACAAGGCCCAAGTCAGCAGACTAGTGACACCAACAACACTAGTTTCTCAGTTCTGATGTTATGACTTATTTTCCCAAAGACAAATAGTAGACTCATCGTCCCATTATTAGAAGCCAAGGTCCTAGTAGTAATCAGAAATAGTAATCTGTAACTCAGAAGAAATATCACAAAGTTAATATTTATTTCCCTTTCCCATAGCCCGCCCTTAGGCCCCTTTTACAAACTGAATTAGTTTGATACCTGGTTTCCCAATAGAATCAGTAGATTGGAAATGGGGACAGAACAGCTAGATCCAAGTATACCACAGCCTAACCACAGATAAAAGAGAAAGAAAATGATAGGGAAAACAAGACGGCACTTAACAGTTTCTAGCATATAATAATTGCTCAAAAATACTTGTTGAATTGAGTAAGAACTCAACATTCAAACACCTTAGTGGATATTAGTCCTGAGGGAATCACTGTGAAAGCAAAGTAAAATTAGTATTCATGAAGCCCCTACATTTTCAAGAAAAGGTCAAATTATGTTCCATATAATCTGTTTAAAAAGGCATAGAGAAACATATTCAGAATGGCATGAAATATGATTTATAAAGTGTTCTGTCAAAACGGTTAACATAAAATTATTGGTGCTTAAAGGTCAGCTCCAATTGTCTGGAAAATTTGCTTAAGGAGAATATCCCTTCATGCCAGATACACAAAGTATACATATTCCAATAGCCTTCAATATAATGTTCCTAAAACTGGAAGAATCCCCACCTCTATAACTCCTAGCCTGCTTTCTTACACTTTAGCACCAGTGCCCAGCATGGAACCGCTGGTATAGACTCCCTAGGATGAGAATTTTCTTCCTTAAAGAGAGTTGATATCCCAACAGGAATCTGAGAAAACACATCCTACAAGTCTAGCTCATCATGTCGAACTACAACTTGTTATGCTCCATTATCTTGTGAGGCACTGGTATATCGGGCACTGACTCAAGAGATAAGGAAGCTAGGTTTGTCCTAGGATTTTTTTCCGGGAATATTATTCTACCTCAGAGTCTTTTCATGAAAATTGTGCCCAGCTTCAGAGAAAGTGGTGGGATGAGATTTATAAAGGACTTTTGATTGCAATTCTGATCAAGAATCTGAACTAGAATGTTATGGCTCCTGTCACCAAGTTCAATTCTAAAGGAGAACTTGGGAAAAAACGTTGGGGGGAGGGACTGCTTTTGACTGGTAGTTGAACATAGGAAGTGAATCTATCCTAGGCCACAGGTAACCTGCCATAACTGGGTAAGGGGAATAGAAGAGAGGAAATGGTGGTGATTTGTTCATGCTCCCCTGCTCCAAACACCCCAACATCACCATCAAGTTAATCACCTCGAGATAAATGAAGCCTACCTCCTTCCTCTGGTCCAGTAATCCTTAGGATTACTGGGCAGTTCAAAGACCACATGCTTGTGAGAAACAAAGAACAGTAGATAGGATGTAAATAACTTCAAACAATTGCTTAAATGCCTCCCCCACTCATAATTAAGGAAATATTATCTAAGCTAAAGAATATCACTTATCTAATGTCATTTCTTTCGGGGGATGATTATAAGTGTCTGACTTAGGAAGTTGTTTTGTGACTGAGGACTGAGTGAATGTGGTTTTCTGATGTCTGGGTTCATCCAGTTCCCACCTCCTGAGTTCACTGGGGTCATATGAACTGGTGTCTGGGTTATATGAGTAGCCAACATCTCTAGCGTAAATGAGTTTACAAGCCAAAATAACAAGAAATATGAAGAACGCACAACCATTTCAAGGGTAATACAACAAACTGGATGGCATTCCAACAAAATGAGGATTTAAAAGAATTTAAAATTTCTCTAATAAACATAGTAAAAGATATCAGTGATATGAAACTAGGACAAGGAATGTAAAAATGAACCGAGCACAAATATTAAATATGAAAGATATAATAGCTGATATATAATTTATATATAATATAAACAGTAGAATGGATACAACTGCAGAAAAATATTAGAAAATCAGAAGACTATTTTGAGGAAACCTCCCAGAATTAAGACATTAAAAAGAAAGAAGAAGAAATAATCAATTAAAAAAAAATATATTGATGAACCCACCTATTCTAGGGAGATGCACCCACCTACTCTAGGGAGGTGCACCCTTTGGATCAATCAGCTACGACACACCAGAGGTGTAGCAATCACATAGAGGGAAAGCTGGATAAACAGGACTACATGGACTAGAAGGGCACAGGGAGGGGGTGTTCAAAAGGGGGAGACGGGAGGACAGTATTTTATGGTTGGGGACGATAATCAGTGCCGTGAAATCAGATGTGCATGGACTGTTGAATGTAAAACAAGTTTACTAAGTAAATTTGCACCCAAAGTATCATAAAAATTTTAAAAGAGAAAATAAAAAACCAGAAGAAATGGAATATAGGAATATAAATGCAGCATCCATGTGGTAGAAATTCAAGAAAGAATGATAAAATTGGAAAAGAAGAAATAATAGAGACACATATCTTGATGTTACAAAAAGAAAGAAGACCACAGATAGTGATAATTACTAAAAAGAAAATAAAACATAGCAATAGAAGATGTAACTGGCCAACCAGTGTGTGGGAAGGGGTTGCCATTTATAAGGTGCTGTCAGGAAAGGAGACACCTAATTAATGAAATACATTTGAATATCAAGAAGGAGCCAGAAACACATTTCAGTATGATTTATTGTTTTATCTCCAAGGTTTCAAACCTCTGATTAACAGTTTCTTGACTTTATCTTTTCAGGGTTTCTGGATGTCTCTTTTTTATCATCCTACTTTTCATCAGACTTCTGGGCTATATGTTTTTCCATATAACTTATATAAATCCAGATCTCCTTATCAACGTACTGCCCAGGATATTGAACAGGGGCATCTTGTGGAAGCTAAGATTCTTCCTCTTTCCATCTCTCACGCTGGAGACAGAGGACATATTACCTCACTGATCTCTAAGAAATATCCATGAACAACAGAAGACAAGTGATATCTGAGCCTGCAGACTAAGAGACAGTAGTGCATGTGGAGGGAAGAGGTTTTCTTCAGAGTTTTTCCCTAAAGGTTTGTTTACTTGACTATTCTCCTCTCCATTGTCTTTCCAAGATTGACCTTGTCCAGTAAAAAGCTCTGTCAATAGGTTCCTGTGGCTATATTTGTAAACCAAATAGTACCAGAGAGTAAACAAAGGAAGCCAGGACCCTTTCTAGAATAATATCAGAGATGCAACTTAAGGTTGTGAAGTTCTAGAGAATGTAAAAATACAAGGGACTGTATTTCTGCAATGCAGGGAGATTGTTCACTGCTTATACTAATTAGAACTCTTTGGTTGCAAGTGACCTTAGCTAAAGCTAACTTGTAGCCAAAAAAAAAAAAAACCCAAATGATTGTTTCATGGAACTGAAAATTACATGAATAAATCTGGGGCTTCAGGCATGGCTGGATCCAAATGCCTCAAACAATATTATCAAGGCTTCATCTCTCTCTTCTCTTTGGATAGGCATTCATCTTGCAGTGGGAAGATGGCTGCCAACAGCCTAAGCATTTCATACTACCAGATTAGCAACCTCAGCAGAATGAAATAGTCTTTTCCAATAGCTCCAGTAGTAAAGCATGAGTGATAAGTCTGATCCCTTGTTAGAGATACAATAGTAAAAGAGCAAAAAGAGATCAGGGAGTCACCTCCACCTAAACATATGTGTGGAATATATTTTCCAAATGAAAGAGGGATTTCATTCCCAGAAAAGAAGAAAGGTATTCTGGGTAGGCAAAAACACAGATGTACCCTTAATTGCCAATTTCATCCTTCCACATAAATATACAACTCTGTTAATTAAACAAACTCTCAAAGTTGTAGCTCACTTCCTGTATCTTACTTCCAGCGATAATTATAATTTCTCAGGATCATGGACTGAGATACTGTAAAACTACTGCAAAGAGTTAAGTTTAAGAAACATGTAAACAATTAGGTCTCTAGGGCTAAAGTAAGCAAAAGTTCTAAAATAAATAGCATATGACTGGTATAAACTGCTTTCTTTGAGTCCTAAAGGTAACCTATATATGATCATACCTCTTATTTTTCCACTCAATTACTGAAGCACCCACATGCTTTATTAGTAGAATGTGTTCAAACTCTCAAAAGTTTTCTTTCTCTCCTAAACTGTCAGGAGTCCAAGAACAAGGAGAAAGGGGTTATTCTGTCCTCCACACAGCAGGGAAAGAACTTGAGCTGTTGGTCCACAGCCATAGCTTCTCAAGGCCACAAGGTGTCACTGTTGAAAACTGATCTGACCAAAAAAAAACAAAACAAAACCCCTTGTTGTCCAGGAGACTGTGATTCATAGTGACCAGGAAACTATCGTATAAGACAGTGTAGAACTGCCCCATAGGGTTTCCAAAGCTGTAAATCTTTATAGAAACAGACTACTACATCTTTCCCCCATGGATCCTACACAGAGTGATCAATAATTTATGATCCAAATTGAGATACACTTGATAATAAAAAGGGCACTGTTAAGAATTATGCCAGGACAAGCTCTCAGACAGGGCTGCTTCAGCAAACCAGGAAGTATGGTTACTTATACATATACAGTCCGAGATCCTGTTTATATTGTGTTTTGCTAGGCAGGTAAACACCACTTTTCTCTGTTAAGCTCAGCAAAGGGTGTGCCATACTTGATGTACCAAGCTCAAGGTGCACCGCTCCTTCCATTTGCATACCCATGCTGGGTGGATCTTGAGGATCAAGATTGATTCCAGTTTCTGCAACTCTCACTCTTGCCTACTTGGGAAACCCTTCAGTAAGTCAGTCTACTCCTTGAAGACCCACCCCTCAGAGACCAAGAGTCTTCCCTTCGGAAGACTCAACAAAGGCAAAGTGCCTGATAATATACTTAGCAAATACCCATTCCTCCAAGGAGGGCTGCTCTTGGAGGTTCCTAGGGGTGCAACTTCCTTTCCAGGTACTTTCCAGGTGTTTTCTGACTCTTCTGCTCTGAAGAAGAGAAACATGTTTACTATAAGGCATTTTACATTACAAATTACATTTGTAATTATTTTCTATGGTCAAGCTATATTTTCCAATCTGGTATCAGCAGGTCTGTTTAGCCAGCATCTCTATATAGCTACAGTTCAAAATAATTACTGTGGATAATGATGAGTTCAGATTGTTTGTGATTCAAGAGGAGAAGGGAAAGGGAGGAAAAGAGAAGTTCTGTTCAATTTCTAATACTGTGCTAGTGTTATGACTACAAGGCAAAGAACACAATCTTTGTCCTTGAAAGGGCAGGAAGGAGAGACAAAACAAAACAAACAAAAAACCAAACTCACTGCCATGGAGTCAGATCTGACTCATAGCAACTCCTCCTTATGCTTCCGAGGTGGTATCACTACGGAAGTAGATTGCCCAACCTTCCTTCTGAGAAGTGGCTGGTGGGTTTGAACTGCCAGCCTTCTGGTTAGCAGTCAAATGCCTTAGGCACTACATCACCAGAGTTCCCGGAAGGAGAGATAGATGTGCACAAAATGAAACTTACAACAGAAAAATAGAGGAGGAAGTGAGTCTCCGTGTCTATGTCCAATTGCAGTACCATCAGATTGATGGATGATGTTAGACTGAGAAGGAGAATGACATGTCAAGCCATTCTTTAGCATCTTCCACTCCAGATGAATGTTTTAAATAGAGGTAGCTAACACACCAAAAAAGGAGTCCTGGTGGCTCAGTAGTTAAAGCCCTCTGCTGTTACCCACAAGGTTAATGGTTCAAACCCACCAGCCACTCCATAGTAAAAAGATGTGACATTCTGCTTTCATAAAGATTACACCCTTAGAAACCCTTTGGGGCAATTCAACTCTGTCCTAAAACATCACTGTGAATTAGACTCAGGAGACAGCAGCAGGTTTGGTTTGATTTTAAAGCATTAAAAATTAAGCAACTTCCTGAAACTGTTAAATAGTTTAGAATTGGTGAATTCTTCTTAATCCCTTCAGAGAAAACCAAACCACCTCCTTCTGGCCATCACCAGACTAACGTACAAATACATGTAGTATGATGATACAAATAACTCTAAGTTATTTACCTAGCACACTGAATGGAAATACTGGACACCATGTCAAGACCTGAGGGCTTCCCACAAAGATCTATATCTTATATACCTTTTCTCCCCACACTGAATAGCAGTGAAATTCTGGGCTTCAGTGGAATTGGGCACAACATGCTTCCACTGCACAGCTTATGCTGCATTTCAGTGGACTTCATTTTTAGTAGCAGTGGCATGTAAAGATGGGGCAGGCTCTCATTTTACCAGCAGTCAGCAACATGATTTAGCAAGAACTCCCATTCACACAATCTAAACTCATGAATCTGAAATTCAGAATCACGGGGAAAAAACACTTTCACACATTGTGGTTTTACAGTCATTTGCTTTTAAAATTATTTCGTTACTTATCACTATATTTTCTCTGCTGGAGCTGTTACATAGCATAATGCTGAGGAAAGAGCAGAAATTGCTGTAGAGGATTCAAATCCCTAATGCTACCTAAAAATCAACAGAATTTTTCTTGTTGTTGTTCAAAGTAATGTTTTGTAGGTAAATGCTGACTGTACTGTTGGGGGTCATCCCCAGAATATACTAGATGAGGGTGAGAACATACAGAACAAATGGCTGCTCAGAAGGTAGAAAGAGCCAACAGAAACAGTTCTCATCATGTAACATTACTGTTGTAGAAGGGGGCTCTGTGATATTTTAGATGATTTTTATACATTAAAAAAAAAAACTAAAAATATGTTGATTCCTTGCCGTGTAAACTATTGACAATGAACTGCTGTTGTGCATCTTTTTATTTCATTCCGGCTATTAACTGTGTTTCCTTAACTAAAGTAGTTAAAAAATTTTAAATCTGTAAAACTGAGAAACAGATCTTTTAAAGATAAGGTTCAATGATTAAAATTACTATTTTGAAAAATTCTTTCTGATAAAGAGTAAGGCTAATCACAGCTTTTCTGTGTTCGCCCTGAAAATTCTGTGAAGGAACATTCATACATGGTTTGGGGACAGAAGCTGCCTAGAAACAAGTGTAGGAGGAGGTAAGATGCTATTGGCTTACTTCCCCTGCTGAATATTTACAGCTGAGACAGCTATAGATGCAGCGTCTAGCTTTTCAAATAGTGTCAAGGTTATAGCAGAAAACTTAGTTTGTTTTGTTTTAATTATATTTTGTTGAGTTTTCATGAAAGTTTACACAGCCAGTTATTTTTCCATTTGACAATTTCCACTCAGCTTGTTTAGGGAGCTCTGGTGGCCTAGTGCCTAAGGCATTTGACTTCTAACCAGAAAGCTGGTGGTTCAAACCCACCAGCTACTCCTTGGGAGGAAGATTGGGCAATCTACTTCCGTAGAGATACTTCCTCAGAAACCCAAGGAGGAATCACTATGACCCGGGGATCAACTCGATGGTAGTGAGTTTGGTTTTTTGTTTTGTTTTGTTCAGTGACATTAGTTATATTTGCCACAATATGGCAATATTTTCTTTAATAGTGTTCAGTTTGTTTCCTTTCCAATACTCTAGTTACCCTGCCCCCTTATCTTTTTATCTTTGCTTTTGAGTAATGGTGACTTTTTGGTCTCATACTGGTGGTTTTTTAAGTAGGGCACTGATCTTATGAGTAATATCCTTTGTTTTGTGTGCCTCTCTGCTATTTTGCTAAAAGCTGACCTCAGGTGATAGGCTCAGTTCCAGATTTTGAAGACTGTCTCAGGATAATAGTCTCAGGGAGTCCTCTGTTCTCGATTTGAACAGTTTTCTTTGGCTATTGGGGTGATGCACTTCCCTTATGATTTGGCCAAAGCTACCTGCTCTGGTAGCATAGTGGCTAAGGCACTTGACTGCTAACCAGAAGGCTGGCGGTTCAAACCCACCAGCCACTCCTCGGAAGGAAGATGGGGCAATCTAC